TAATAAATATATAATATACATACCACTTCATCTAATGATCTGTTAATAGTGTTGTTGTCAGTATCTCTTCCTTTTTAGGTCTGTTAATATTTGAACAAAAGCAATTCAGTTGAATGGATTTATAAATATAATATTAGTTTGTATGCCTATACACCTGTAGTAGTACTAATAATATAACCTCACAAATAATCTCTATGGTCTCATAAAAGACACATATCAGTGTGCCTGACATACAAAGTACTTAAGTGAAGTCTATCATATTTTAACAGTACAAAAGGATCCCAAGACAAAATAGTTTGTGAAACTATGACAGAACTAGCCTCTATAGAATTAGTTTAGTTTTTCAGGGACTTAATTTTCAAATAATTTTTTCCCCCAATATTTATGTTTTGGTCATTATTTGTTTCAAAGCTTGAGAAGGAAACAGTGAAAGATGCAATTTTAAAAGCCATAGAAGAAGAGAGGAAAAATTTGGAGAAAGCCCATGCTGAAGAAAGGGAGTTATGGAAAGCTGAACATGCAAAAGATCAAGAAAAAGTATCTCAGGCAATCCAGAAAGCTATACAAGAAGAAAGAGAAATAAGTCAGGTTAGTAAAATTACTCTTTGCAATGATTTTCTTCTTATAAATTTGTCAAAAGTGAAGTATCTCTGCTATCATTTTATCTTACTTAAAATATCCTTAGTAGATATATCTATTTTCCCTTTGATATTAATATTTAAAAATTTTAATATATCAGTGTACTCTTTCTGATATTGGAAACAGTAAGTTATAATTTTACCTTTTGTTTAGTTATCACAACTACATTAAGCTGCTTCCTACATACAAAATCAACCAAAATAATGTAAGAGTAGGAAACAATTCAATTTAATGGAGTTATAAATAAATAATTAATTTGTATATCTCTATACCAATAGTGGTAGTAATAATCCCTTAAAAGTAATCCTTATGGTTTCATAAAAGACACATCAATAAATATGACTGCAAAGTGTTTAAGTGAAGTAAAACATCACATTATAACACTGCACTATAAAGTTAAGCGTCTCAGGTGTTTAGTTTTGAAAATCTGCATGTATATATCTTATCTGGCTAAACAATTGAAAGCTATGTTAATTTTTCCAGAATTGAATTTGCCAGGGTCTATTTTAACTGTACTTAATAAAGCTATTTTTATATTGGAATGAAGTACTTGAATGCCTATCTCCTAAACAAGCATGAAAAGCCAAAAATAACATTCAGAGCATTATATGTACTACCATGGTTCATTCAGTTGTATACTGTAAATGTAGAGAGGGAGAAAAAAAAAAACAGGAGATTTCCTTATGACTCATTAACTAAACTTAATGAACTGCTAAAAGATGGAATGCTTTACTATCCAGGATGAATGTTCTGTATTTTGAGACGCCTATCATTTTTTTTTTTTTTAAGATTTATTTATTTATGCACAAAGACTGGGGTATAGGCCAGAGGCTCAGGGGTGGTGAGAGGCTTCACCAGAGACAGAATGGGGAGCAGAACAGGCAGATCGACGAAGTACACTGCTGAGGGGAGCAGCGGGTGGGTCAGGAGAGGTCTG